GAGATTTTGTAATCTGTTTTCACACAAATAACAGGAAATTATGATGAGTTGGGAAAGAATTGGTGGATGAGAGGAGATGTACTACACGAATGAGGGGTAGATAGGAGTCATAGATGAATGTTTTCAGTAAATGAAGGTTTTCTTCTGATTTCTTAGTGTTATAAATGAAACAAGAAGGCTTATAAGCTCAGACTGAAAAGTAGGGAAAATAAAAGGTTTAAAATAGTCACCTAGGAATTCTGGAGATGTGGCTCCATAGTATTGCACTTGCCTAACATTCACAAGGCCCTAGGTTTAATCCTCAACACCACAAGACAAAAAAAAAATATACCTAGAGGATGCGGTAAGAATAAGTTGACTTGGGATTGTCAAATTAGGTTGCTAGCAAGACTCAATAAGATAAAAAAAAAAAAAAGTATTTCACATGAAGACCAGTTCATAATGAGCATTCATTATTATTAAATCAAGCTGGTAATGTTCAAAATGTCTCTGAAGAGATACCCACACCCAGGAAAATTAGTTAACCAAGCCCAGAGGCCATGAATTAAGAGCTAATCTGAAGGAGGAAGAGGAACAATTACTTTAAGAACAGTATGTGCTAAACAGTACTTGTATTAGGAATGAGCTAGTGAGTAGCTTGTTTTGTAAATCAGTTTTTATTGGAATACATTCCTGCCCATTAATTTTCAGATTATTCTTGACTGTTTGCATGCTACAATGTCAGAGTTAAGTAGCTGCAATAAAGACCATATGGCTTGCATAGCCTGGGGTAGGGGTGGGCTTTATGGTTTGGGGTTTTTTTGGTACATGTGTGTGTGTGTGTATACATATGTATATATATTTATTTAACCAAAAAGAAAATAGTTTTCCAATTCCTCCAGATGGATTTAGAGAATGATTGGAGATTCATGAAAACAAATTGGAAACACAAATAATACCATTACAGAATTAAGGGGCTGGGAAGGTGGCTCAGTGGTAGAGCGCTTGCCTTGCACGCCTGAGGCCCTGGGTTCGATTCCTCAGCACCACATAAGCAAAAAGAAAAAAGCCAGAAGTGGTGCTGTGGCTCAAGTGGTAGAGCGCTAGCCTCGAGCTGAAGAGCTGAGGGACAGCACCCAGGCCCAGAGTTCAGGCCCCATGACCAGACCCCCCCCCAAAAAAAAGAGCTCAGCAACAGCATTCAGGCACTGAGTTCAAGCCCTACAACCAGAAAAAGAAAAAAAAAAACAAAGGCCTAAAATCATTACAGAATTAATAATTAATATGGCAAGGAAGAAAAAAGACACAATGGGAACTTGAAATGTTGACCTAGGAGAATTCCAAAAATAATCAACAGTGAATCATCAAGGGGGGAAAACCCCCAAAAATTAAAGCAATAAAGTAAAAAAAAATTCACAAATTCTTTCTTCAGTCCTCCAGATATTTAGAACAAATGAAAATGATCCTAAAATAATGATAATTGTTGTCCCCAAAGTAACAAATGCAAAGCTACAGAACAGAAAGATTTAAATTTTCTAAGATATAATGAAAAATTTCTCTAAAATGTGGAAAGAATTGAATCTGCAGCCTTGAAAGAATCCATAATGTTCTAGGAAATTTTGATCTGGGACAAACAACAGTGAACCATATTCTGAATCCATTTCAGGAATCATAAAAAAAAAAAATTTAAGCTGGGCACTGGTGGCTCACACCTGTAATCCTTAGCTATTCAGGAGGCTGAGATCTGAGGATCACTGTTCAAAGTCAGCCTGGCAAGAAAGTCTGTGAGGCTCTTATCTCCAATAAACCACCAAAAATCGGAAGTGGCGCTGTGGCTCAGCTGAAGAGCTGAGGGATAGCACCCAGGCCCAGAGTTCAAGCCCATATGACTCACAAAAAAAAAAAAAAAGAGCAACTTTCAGAGGTGAGACCGGGGGTACTCCTGTAATCCCAGCTGCATTTTGCACTTTTGTTTCTGCAATTTCTGAACATGTATGTTATTTTTTTTAAAAAATACTTTTTTGGATGTTACTTTAAAAGTGAAAGCGACTTTTTTCTTTCTTTTTTTTTTGGGGGGGGTCCGGTTGTGGGGCCTGAATTCTGGCCCTGGGCACTGTCCCTCAGCTCTTCAACTCAAGGCTAGCGCTCTACCACTTGAGCCACAGCACCACTTCTGGCTTTTTTCTTTTTGCTTATGTGGTGCTGAGGAATCGAACCCAGGGCCTTAGGCATGCAATGCAAGCGCTCTACCACTGAGCCACCTTCCCAGCCCCGAAAGTGACTTTTTTCTAATAATTACAATGTAAGTCCTAGAACTGGGTACTGCCTGACATCAAAGGCCTTGTGTTTGATTCTAATAGTAACAATGCAAATACACACAAACACACACACACACACACACACACACACACACACCTTCTATTCATTAATTTGATCAGTGTAATCAAGATCTGTATATCAATTCACACCAACAAAATTGACAGACACTGTGAATCAGAGATATGTTAACTAACATGCATACTACAGTGCTAAGACATGCTACCCAGAGAAGGCAGTACTTTACAGTGGGTGTATTTACTCAGGAATCTAAAACTATGGAAACTACTTAGTTAGGCCTCCTCAGATAAATAAAGATTTAAAATGGCAGACATGCTAGGTGCCAGTTGCTAATACCTATACTCCTAGCTACTCAGGAGGCTGAGATCTGAGGATCACGATTCAAAGCCAGCCTGGGCAGGACAGTCTGTGTAGTAAATATCAAGCTCTAGTACTGACAAAAATAAGTAAATAAATAAAGGAGTTTTTCATTGTGAAACAGATTAAATACAAACTCATGCTTGGGATCTGAAGCTCACTGCCACATATCATCAAATTACTTTTTTCTTTTTTTTTTAAGCTCAATTGCTATCTATTTCTTTGTCCTTAAGATTGTATATAAGTGGCCAGATCTGGTTTGCACATATAATTTTCTTTGGCCCACACAACAGCTTTAGAAATTTTGAATTTTAGTTACTTCAAGTCAGTTTCTAACATTTACAAACTGAAAGATGTCACAGAAAAATTTACTTCTTAGGAAAAGCTAGGCTATTTGACAACTTCAGACCCACATGGCACAAATTGCTGAAGCTAGGCATCCAGTAACTTTGTAAATTGGAAAATACACCCCAGTCTACCATAGGCCTCACCTGATCAGGCACTGGCTTGGGGGCAATAGACATGCGCATTCATGATGCCTACTCTATATGACCCAGAGCTCCACCCCAGTGTATCACAAGATGGCTTTGCTACCTTTTCCAGTCTTCTAGGATTGCCCTCTTTCCATCTGTCCTGTCTTTAAGGCCCTTTCAAGCACAGCCCCGTCCTCACCCTCTGGGTGTCACTACCCTGTTTCTGAGCCATGTGACACTGTGTGCTTCGGTACTCCTCCTACCCTCAGCCATCTGTGTCCTAAGGAGATACAGAGATGCACTTCTTCCCACTCCTCTGGCTTCCTTGGGGGGAGATGGCCTCTTAACCTAGACCTTTCTGTTCATCTTCCTCTTTCTCCCATGAATACATGTCATCTTTGCCACTTGGTCCATGTCTACCTGATAGAAAGCCCTGTGAAGGCCAAGTGCAGCAGGTGAGCATGACCTGGGCATGTACTTATGCCCATTCAGAGGGTCAGCCCATTGTTGCCACACATCCAAGGTAGACTTTCCTATTCAGGTTTACTAGGCAAACTAAGCTAATATTTTCATCATCTCACAACTGCTGCCAAACCCAAGCAGGGAAAAGAGGGTGGTGGTGGTTGTTGTTTTAATTAATGAATTTTAAGTAGTTGTACAAAGGGGTTTCAATTCGATTAGTCAGATTATGACCCTAAGGTATCTTGAGCAATGTCATCAAGAGGGATTTTCTTTATTTACACCCTCCCCACTTCTAAGCTCAGTAACACTTACTCATCCTTGTTGTTTTATTTTGAGACAGGGTTTGCTATGTAATCCAGGCTGGCCCCAAACTCTCAATTCTCCTGCCTCAGCTCCAAATGGCTGTCATTTTAGGACTGCATCACCACACTTGGATCTTTCCTTAACTTTCTAGAGCATTTAGCAAAATCTATTGCATGGAGAGGCACTCAAAGTTATTTATCAAATTAAAGTAAAAGAATCCAGCCAGGCACCAGTGGCTTATGTCTATGATCTTACCTACTGAGATCTGAGGATTCCAGTTTGACACCAGCCTAGCAGACAAATCTGAGAAACTCTTATGTTCAAATAATCATATAGATCAAATGCTACGCTAGTCTTGAGCAACAAAGCCAAGCAAGTCAGGTGTTGGTAGCTCATGTCTATAATCTTAACTACTCAGGAGGCTGAGATCTGAGAATCCCAGTTTAAAACCCGTTCAGGCAGAAAAGTCCTCGAGACACTTAATTAACTACCAGAAAACCAAAAGTGGAACTGTGGCTCAAAGTGGTAGAGCACTAGCCTTGAGTGAAAGAGCTCAGGGACAGTGCCAGGCCTCAAGTTCAAGCTCCATGATTGACATAAATTAATTAATTAATAAATAATAAATAAATGTCTGGCAAAAGCTCAAGGCCTTGAGTTCAAGCCCTAGTACAGGCACAAAAAGGAAGGAAGGAAGGAAGGAAGGAAGGAGGGAGGGAGGGAGGGAGGGAGGAAAATAGGAAGGAAGATAGGAAGGAAGGAAAGGAGGAGGGAAGGAAGGAAAGAAGGAAGGAAGGAAGGAAGGAAAGGAGGGAAGGAAGACAGGAAGGAAAGGAGGGAAGGAAGACAGGAAGGAAGACAGGAAGGAAGATAGGAAAGAAGGAAGGAAGATAGGAAGGAAAGAAGGAAGGAAGGCAAGGAAGATAAGAAGAAAGATAGGAAAGAAGGAAAAGAAAATCCAATGTTCCTAAAATTCATGAAATATAATTTTCATGTGTATGTTTTCATGATTTAAATGTATCTATAATGTTAAAAATATGAATTATTCAATATATAACATAAAATATTTATTTCCTATTTACATTTTTACATAAATAACTGTACATCATATCACATATCAAAAAGAAGAAGGAAAGAAAAACTGCAAACGTAAATCTTCAAAACCAGGGAAGAGAGCACCCCACAGTAGCCATCAGCAGTCCGGTAGGTCTCGTTTCTTGCCTTTTTTTGATTTCTTGCTTGTTTCCTGACGAATGGTCTCATACTCCAGTATGGCCATTCTGGAAAGTCTTTGTAAGTACTGAGAGGATGCTCCTGCCAGAGGGTCTCTGAAGCCAGAGCCTGTGGGGAGAAGCCAGATGTCAAAATCGAACCACACAGGTGTGAATAGAAGACACAGGGAAGGAAATATGCCATAAATGCTAGCAAAACCCCACCACATCTTTATATAATCTGTACTTTGAATTAGAAATGCCAGTCCTGGGGCTGGGAAGGTGGCTCAGTGGTAGAGTGCTTGCCTTGCATGCCTGAGACCCTGGGTTCGATTCCTCAGCACCACATAAGCAAAAAGAAAAAAGCCAGAAGTGGCACTGTGGCTCAAGTGGTAGAGTGCTAGCCTTGAGCTGAAGAGC